TCTATTTTACCAACACTATCTAAAATATTTGAAAAAGTTGTCTATAAGAGGTTAATTGACTATTTAAATAAACAAAATATTCTCACAACATCACAATATGGCTTCAGAGAAAAGAGCACCACTTGCATGGCAATTCTGGATCTGGTAGAAAAAATCAACGACGCTATCGATAAAGGTGAGTGTGGCATCGGTGTCTTCCTTGACTTATCGAAAGCGTTTGATACTATTGATTTTAACATACTCCTTGGCAAATTGCAACATTATGGTGTCAGAGGTTTAGCACTCAGTTGGTTCTACTACTAGCTACTTAAATGAAAGGGAGCAAGATGTGTACTCTAATAATCAGACTTCACACCGTAAAACCATTAAATGTGGGGTCCCACAGGGCTCAGTCCTAGGCCCGCTACTATTCATTATTTATGTAAATGACTTTCCAAATTAATCTCAAATCCTCCATAATGTAATCTTTGCTGATGATACAAACGTATTTTTATCCCAGAAAGACCCAAAACGTCTACAAAACACTATAAATGATGAATTAAGTAAAGTAGATAAAGTAGATTAAGTAGATGTTAATAAATTAACATTAAACATAAATAAAACCAAATTTATTGTATTTCGCTCTAATAGAAACAGGAAAAATCTTGAAAATATACATATCTCAATAAACAGTATAAATATTGAAAGACTAAACTGTATGACATTTCTTGGAATTCAAATTGATGAACACCTGAATTTCAAAAAACATATTGATCATCTTGTTAAAAAATTATCCAAATATGTCGGCTTATTTTATAAATTGAGACATTTCCTTCCCCTTGAGGCCCTTTTGATTTTGTACCGATCCCTTTTTGAACCCCATCTAAATTACTGCAACGTGATCTGGTGGAACACATTCCCCAGCTATCTTTTGAAATTACAAGCTCTTCAAAAGAAAGCCATTCGAGCCATTTCCTGGGCCAAGTTTAACAGCCCAACTGATCACTTATTCAATATAAGAGTGCAACCTGGCCTTGATCCTAATGATCTGTCTAACTTTCGCCCAATTTCCAAGCTTCCACTGCTGTCCAAAATTTTGGAAAAAATTGTTTTTAACCAGCTGAAGGCATTCCTGGATGAGCATGAGATTTCCGAGGTTTTTCAGTCTGGTTTTAAGAGCCGTCACAGCACTGAGTCAGCTTTGCTTAGGGTTTTAAATGATCTTTTTATGTCTACGGACTCTGGCCACACTGTGGCATTGGTGCTGTTGGACCTGACAGCTGCGTTCGACACAGTGGACCATGAAATCCTCCTGTGTCGTCTTGAAAATTCGGTCGGCGTTCGGGGTTATGCTCTGAAATGGTTCAGATCCTACTTAACAAAGAGGAGTTTTTGTGTTAAAATTGGTGACTGTGTGTCCTCCACAGCTCCCCTGTCATGTGGTGTACCACAAGGGTCCATTCTAGGACCACTTTTGTTTTCATTGTATCTGCTTCCGCTGGGATCTGTTCTCCGTAGATTTGGGGTGTCATTTCACTTATATGCTGATGACAGCCAAATCTATGTGCCCCTTAAGCGTGAGAATGCGTTCAGTGCCACTCAACTTTTAGAGTGCATTGATGAAATCAAATCCTGGATGTCTGCAAACTTTCTGCATTTCAATGATAAAAAGACAGGTTCTACTAGTTGGGCCTAGCAATGGTAGAGTTGCCTCTGCAAACCTGGGACCCTTGACACAGTTTGTTAAACCCACTGTGCCAAACCTTGGTGTTAAAATGGATCAGGATTTTAAATTTGACAAGCAGGTTAGTGCTGTGGTGAAGGCCAGTTTTTTCCATCTGAGGCAGCTTGCAAAAATAAAGTCCTCACTTTCTAGTCACCACTTTGAAATGTTGATTCATGCTTTTGTTACCACGCGGCTAGACTACTGTAACGGTCTGTACACCGGCATTAGCCAGTCCTCGCTCGCTCGCCTGCAGCTGGTTCAGAACGCCGCAGCGCGTCTTTTAACTGGCTCACGAAAGCATGATCACATTTCACCTGTTTTGTCTTCCCTTCACTGGCTTCCAATCAAATACAGAATTGATTTTAAAATTCTTTTATTTGTGTTTAAATGCCTCAACGGTCTTGCTCCGAGTTATCTGTCCGACCTGCTCGTGTCCTACTCTCCGACACGTTCGCTACGATCGGTGGACCAATCACTGCTTATGGTTCCTCGGACTCACCACAAACTCAGAGGAGACCGAGCTTTTTCTGTGGTTGGTCCCAAACTGTGGAATGAGCTGCCTCTGTGCATTAGACAGGCTGATTCCCTTCCTGTTTTTAAATCACGCCTTAAGACGCATTTGTTCTCTTTGGCTTTTAACTAGTTTGGAAGTTGACTTTTACTGTTCAAATCGTCCACTTATGCCACTGTATATGTGTATATTTGATTGTTTTTTATATTTTTATTTTTGTACGGCACTTTGGTCAACTGTGTTGTTTTTATTAGTGCGTTATAAATAAATTGGATTGGATTGGATTGCAACCTCTTCCAAAATGCATGTATAATGTATAATGTAGTGTTTAGACCTAAGGACAGACTGGCTCAGCTCATTCCAATCTCTACACCTGCTCATACAAGACATAAAACCCTTTTACAGGGAAAAATTAGAACACTCAAGTGTACAAGCTTCAGTGTGGCGTGTAAAGGCCCACAAGTTTGGAACGAGCTGAACATTAACATTAAAACCGTAAGATCTCTGGCTAATTTTAAAAATAAACTAAAAATTGAGCTTCTAGAAAAGTATAATAAACCCTAGCTGATGACCTCTAACAAGACTTATGTATTTATGTTTGATCGTAATATGTAATGTGTGTAAGCAAAAAAAATAATAATAAAAAATAAAATAATTGTGTATAATATTGTGTATTGTCTTGGGCCCCATATATAAGCTAAATGTTGCTTCAAGGGTGTCCCGTTTATGAATATGCACTATCATCTATAAATGGATGTTAAAATGTTGTTTACTGTATATTTGTAATAAACTGAACTGAACTGAACAGTACTTTCTTTCGTTTAATAGGGGAGTTAATCCCTCTGACATTCATTGACATACAGATTATTTGTCCAGAACTATTGACCATTAATCAGATATTAACTTTGTATTCCAAACAGTTGTCAACAAGAGATGTATATTTGGTATCAATGACACTGATGCGTGGCGAGAGGACCCCAAAAACCCATTTAAAAGTAAAAAAAAAACAAAAAAAACCCACATATATATACTGCTAAACATATATGACAATCCTGAACGTGTCAACCCGTGTGGAAAATACAGTCTGGACCTGTATTCAGGGGTAATAACGCTACTCGTGTCCAGTTCAGATGATATTAACATTCCAGAGTCCGCAGAAATTTCTCCACCTCCGCGGGTGACGAGGACAACTTGAATGCAGTAAAATGAGATGTGGTTGTCGTCTAGAGGTAGAGGGTGCTTTTCTCTGGCCAAGCGGAGTACAATCTCCTTCCGCCTGTAGTTGAGAAAATTTGAGAAAAGTCTTGTACGGTCTGCGGGTGTGCCCAGGCAGTGCACTCCCTCAAATACGACCGGACCTGTGAAGTGTCCTTCCCCAAACAGCCTAGGGATAAGGCGCTCCACGAAGCCAGCCATGTCGTTGCCTTCTGCTCTTCTGGGACACTGATTATCTTTTCCAAGTCATCAGCCTTTACTTTCAGGAGTTTAAATTCATTCTCCATTGTTGTGATACGGGTCTCGGCGTCCACCATGTTGTCCTTGTTAGCTCCAACACAGGTCTCCATTTCCTGCACTTGCTCAGATAGCGTGGTTTGAGCCTGTTCAATATTCGCCAGAGATTAGTAGGTCAGTTTGGTTTCTCTCGATCTTAGCTGATAGCTTATTGTGTGTGAGTAACGTATAGCCTTCATGCCCGACTTCAGAGTTGGCTTTTCTTGTAGTCAAATATGTTCGCCAGGACACGTTGTTTGATCACTGGAGTGCAGTCAGATGATCCAAATGGTCTAATATGTGAGCCCACGCGAGGCTGGTGTCATGCAGAAGCAAAAATAGGTGTTTTCCGAGGTCAAAGCTGCTTGGGCATACTAGAGCTCACAGACACACGTCGGCACGGTGGCTGAGTGGATAGCACTCTCGCCTCTCAGCAAGAAGGTCCTGGGTTCAAATCCCGGTCGGACCAGGGCCTTTCTGAGTGGAGTTTGCATGTTCTCCCCGTGTCTGCGTAGGTTTCCTCCGGGTACTCCGGTTTCCCCTACCACTAAAAATATGTCCAATAGTTCTAGCATGCGCTTCCTGTACTGGCGACCCCGCTCCCATCTCTGTGTGGAGTGAGAGATAAATGCCCAAAATTAACAATTGTAAACCGCTTTGAGACTCAGATCTGCAGTGAAAAGGCGGTATATAAATAAAAACTTACTTACTTACTTACTTACGTCCGCCATCGGTGGTTGCATCTGGGAACTCCCCGCTTATTTGGTCTTTTAGCAGTAATTTATTATATAGAAATATCTTATATTAGAAATATATATTATTATATAATAACATAATTATACACACATAATTCCCATTTTCACCAGCCCTACTCTATTCTACTGGTACCAGGTCCTTCTTTAGTCCCTCTTGCCCCTGGTTCTATTCAGGCCAAACTGGCACTAAAGTGTTTTAAGTGACATTGATTGCTGTTGGAAGCAATGGCTGCCAAGGAATTCCTCTGGATGTGATGTAGGTTTCTGGGATACGGTACCAGATACTAAAGGGAAATGGATATACAACTGAGAAGAGTAGAGTGGAGTAGAGCTGGTGGAAACAGGGATCTACACACATGACAGCACATAACTTTGGTGATGGAAAAGTCTCCTGCATGAATCCAAGAAAAAAGAGCGAGTTGGAGCCACACCGCACAATGAGCACTTCTCTATTGGGCTTCATTGAGCTAGCGGGTTAGCAATGTCCATATCTGTTTATAGTCTATGGTCTAGCTCTGTTGTGTCCTGTTATTCTCACAGAATGTAGGTAATGACACCGATGCTCCACATGTCAGCCTCCAGTCCCAGTGGCTCATAGTTGACAATCTCCGGAGCTGAAACACAGCAGTACATAAACCTCCAACCCTCTCCAGGTACAGATCTGAACTGTGAATTTAACTCCCCAATAATACAAATAGAGCCGGGTTTTGAGTTCTCTCACCTACAAACTCTGGAGTACCGAAGATGTTCTTGAACTCCACTCCTGCCTCGATCTTGTGTGCAAGTCCGAAGTCAATGAGTTTGATTCTGGGCAGTGGCACATTCTTGTCCAGTAGCATGATGTTCTCCGGCTGTGGAACCAAACACCGAACACTAATGACTGTTGAGGTGACCAGAGAGAGAAATCAGAGAGACCAGACAGAGGCCAGAGAGATTATCCATGTGTTCAGTGCTCATATTTAGGCCTGAGTACCGAACTGCCGTAAGGGCCTATTGCTTTCACAATAAGCTCCCCCCTGGACTGCCACCTTAAAGGACAACTCACCCTCAAATCAAATTTTTTTTGCTGATAAACGGTATAAATGAGTGTCCAATAGTGTTGTCTACATATCCTGGTCATAATTTTGTCACTTTGGTGCAAATTAGTTGAAAGTTAAACTTTCTGCCTAAAACCGTCTGTGAGGCGCCGTCTGCTGGCAACCTGTATTACTACATTTGAATTTTGAATCTGGCGCCAACACTGGCGCGGCAGCAAGACCTGACGTCTGAAGCAAGACCTGACGTCAGCAGCCCCCCGCCCAGAGCTATATAAACAGCCCAGTCTCGTTCACGCCCCCTTTAGTCCTCCAGGCTACGCCTATTTAGAGGAAGATTTGAACAGGAAATGTGAGTGACGTAAGCTCCGAGGAGCGGGGGTGAGAACCACTTTAACGTGGTGGGGGAGTTTGAGTACTCGGATGATACCGGGATGTGGGAGAGGTTGAGCGATACCGACTAGAAATAGTCGGCCTCACCTCCACACAGAGTTTGGGCTCTGGAACCCAACTCCTTGAGAGGGGTCGGACGCTCCACTTTTCTGGTGTCTCTCACGGGTAGCCATTCTCATTGCCCCCCATCTCAGCCGCCACGTGTTGGAGTTCTCCCCGGTGAATGAGAGGGTCTCGTCTCTCCACCTTCGGATGGGGAACAAGTCTCTCACTGTTGTGACAGCCTACGGGCCTAACAGCAGTGCAGAGTACCCGGCCTTCTTGGAGTCCCTGGGAGGGGTACTGGACACAGCACCAACCGGGGACTCCGTTATTCTCCTGGGGGACTTCAACGCCCATGTGGGAAACGCCAGTGACACTTGGAGAGGAGTGATTGGGAAGAACGACCCCTCTGATCTGAACCCGAGCGGTGTTCAGTTGTTGGACTTCTGTGCTAGTCTGGTGGAGGTTTGGTGATAGAGTTCCTCACTGCTGCACCATCACGCCCCTCGCGTGCTGTGGTATGTTTGCACTCACCCTCACTGCATGTCAGATTCAGATTCATTTATTTGCCATTTGCAGTAAAACCACATTGGAAAAACTGTGCAAGACTACCCCAGTGTGCACCAGACGACACACACCTGAGCTCTTGCCACGGCGCCATCTTAGTTATACTAGATTTGGTTTTGCGTTTGTGCGTGTGTGTGTGTGACTGCACGGTGTGTAGTGAGTACTCTGTCCCATTCACATATTTGCCCTCTGACCGCTTGCACCCACGGCCGACTAGTCCTGGTCACTTCCCAAATTAACCACTGTTATTTATTAAAACTAGAATTTTAACCTGGCCTTAAATATATTTTTCATACTGTACATATTTATTAAAGTGCTTTTCTTTCCTTATTGAATTAAAAATAAAGCTTTTAAAACTTTCATGGCATTTGTCTCTTTTTAACTATTCACTGCATCCTGACCTGTGTACTATAAATACTGTTTGATTGGGCTCCCTCGGTTACACATAGCAACTTGAACTTTTTCTCTTTTAGTCTGGATAATATTTTAATTGAGTTAAGAACAGAAAATGGTCTCTCAATACAATACTCATTAATACCGTGCATCCCTTTAACAATAGAACAGTTAAAGAACATGACATCTCAGTAAATACTGAAGCCATAATAGTCTGTTGCTGGGAGTGTGCCTCCTGGATAGAAGTCCTGAATAACTGAACCTTAAAGGAGCTCGAGGTTTTAGAGCTCCCAAAAGGGGAAATCCTGCTCACTTCAAAGAGCAGGGCCCAGTAAGATGGCTGTGACGTGTCTGTTAGCATAGTGAGCATGTAGTAGTACAAAATAAAGGAGTCAAAAAGGGGGGCGTGTACACAATAGTTTCTACATTTCTCCCAATCACTTATCTGTAGGTGGATTTTGCCAAAATTTTCACAGCTTTTCAATAAACGGTTGCAGAGTGGGCCGGCTCGTCTAAGACTGTCTGGTGCCTGAAGGAGGGGGTGTGCTGGTTCGGTCTCCGGGGGTTGCCTGCCACGATGAGAGCCGCTGTAACTCGCACTGGTAGGGATCGACGGTAGACGGGATCACGGTCACCGGAAGTCCTCTTGCAGACATGTCCACTGTCGCCTCTGTTGCACTTTGATATAGGCAGGTCTCCTCCTTATAAAAAACTCTCATTATTGCGGGATAGGGAGTTTGGAACTTTTTGCTCTTTGAGGACTCTTTTGGCTTTATTCGGTGTGTTTCTTTAGAATCAGCGGAGGGTAGTCATGGTCAGCGTAGAATCGCGTGTCCTTGTATATCAATTGTTCTTCTTCCAGGCAATCCTTATAACTTCTTCCTTGGTCCTGAAGCTGGAAAGCTTGGCTATGATTGACCGTGGCTGTGTCTGTCCCCCAGCAGGTTTCGGGGCCAGAGCTCTATGTGCTCTTTCTCTCTTTTAGTCAGTTTCAGGCGGAAAAGCGAGAGAATCACAATGCATATTTTCCAGAAAGACAATAATAGATCATACATGACACATGGGTCTCCAGGGCCCATGTGTCATGTATGACAGGGCTCCATTGTTCTTCTTCCAGGCAATCCAATATTTGTCTGTAAATGGTTGTTTGAATGGAAGGATAAATGACAACATAGTGTATTTTTTTTACTCCCCTCGTGAAATTGTTTCATTCATTCTTGCCTCTGTTTACATACCGCTCAGCCCGCACTCGCGGGGCAAGTACTGTGTATGGAACGTTTATACCCGGACTCTCTGATTATTATCCTGGGGGATATTAATAAGGGAAACTTGAGCCAGAATTACCCAAATACAGTTTATCAAATGCCCAACCAGAGAGGAGAACACTCTGGATCACTGTTACACCACCGTGCGCGGAGCTTTTCGCGCTGTTCCCAAGGCAGCCCTCGGCTTCTCAGATCACTCCATGACAGTAGCGGCGCCAGGTTTGCAATTTTGGGTAGGCCTGCAGATTAGTAAGTTTTTGCTTGCACACTACAAGGGATAACTGGAATTGGGGTTTCAAAGAATATGGTTCAAACGCACACACGCACGCACACGCACTCAAGCACACACATACACACAAGCTCATTTATGAAACTTGCGTAGAAAAAGTACATTTTGGGTGTATATTCCATTTACGCAAAATCCAACGTCGGATTTATGAACGTGTGAGATCCGCCCAGATCTGAACGTACGCAGCTGCGGGTGTTGATAAATCGGCTGAATACGAACGTATTTAGTCACGCCTATTATGCAGCAATCGCGTGTTTCACGCCCCGTCTTCGTGACAGGTCAGCAGGAAGCCGGCCAAAAAGACTGTTTGGAAGCCTCAAAAGGCACGTTTGTTTGTTCATGTTTATGTAATAATAAATGCGCTATATATTCAGCTGCGTTTTGAACAAATTTGCTAAAATGTTTTGATACATTAGAAAAATCTCTCTTGAATTGTAGAAGTGAATAAATATAGATTGATTGAATGAATGAATTAATTCATATGCAGCGGTGGCTCTCATGAATGAAGCGTCTGCAGCGTCTTGGACGCAGCCTGGCTCGGGGTAGAAGTGCGCATTGAAGCGCTGTACACTTCAGAGAGCGTTTGCGGTCCAGATTTCACAAAGAAACTCTGGAGCCAAAACTTCTGCACATGTGGCGCGACCTCTCACGGCACTCGCTGCGCACTCTGGACAGGGCAGTGAGACATTTGTGAGTGAGCAATACCATCGATGTGTTATTGGGGTGTGTGTCTGTGTGAGGGTTACACAAATCTAATGAAATAACACATTGCTTTACCAGATGTGAATGAGGAATACAAATAGCCGTGCGTAATTACGCAGCGCAGAGCCTGCCACAGCAATAGATGGGTCACACATCCCTGTTGCGTAAAGTGTATTTATATAGAGCCTTTGACTGTCCAGGATCACAAAGCGCTTCACATTTTAAAAACATACAGATCAAAATAATACACACACAAGTCAGATTTAATAGAGGGTCCTCATCATGAGCTGTGATTTATTCGAAGTTTGCGTGTTTCCATTAGACTTTTTCTGATGCGCAAATTCAAATTTTGAAACATGATCCTCAATGAAAACACAGTATATAATTTTGCCAGAGGGAATATGTTTATTGTTGTACATATCTTGAATTTAATGCGTGTTTTGGCGTGTTGTGCCGAAGGTTGAGATCAGCGTAGATTTACACCACCTCCAGACCTGGCGTATATTTTTTGCGTATTGTACGCTCACGTCCAGATAGATAAATGCGGAAAAGTGTAATATTTTGCGTACGCCTCATTTACACCCTGATTTGGCCGTACGCAGGTTTCATACACGAGGCCCACAGTGTGTCTCACACAGGCCTAGAGTTTACCTCATCAGTGCGAGGCCAGCCTGGCCTGACCGCGCTCTCCTCCTCTGGGACCTACGGGCCCGGGCCTCTGGCTACTCTCACAAAGTTCACGCTGAACTTTCTTAAAACTAAAATGAAAAAGGCTGGTCTGTTGTGAATGTTTTGAGAGCGTTGTCAATCTTTAAGACGAGGAATAGCTGGTTGTTCTCGGGAACGAGCTTCACGCTGTGTGATATGATATTGGACAAAATTGTTCAGCCAATAAACAGGACTATATTTGAAGCAACGTAGGAACGTGATGACGCTCAGGGGTTATATTTTCTTAAAACATTAGAACGCAACATTTAGGCATTAGCAATAATTTGTGTTTAAAAATAACAATATTTAAATTATGACTTTTAATAAAAAAGGCTAATGACTTGAGAGGCGGTGAACAAATTTGAGTAGGCCAAGAAAAAAACTGGTAGGCACCGGCCTACCCAGGCCTACCCCTGGCGCCGCGGCTGCTCCATGATTCATCTGGTTCCTGCTTACAG